CCTAAACTTTGTTTCAAATAACAATTCTTTTGGGGAAAGCTTCAGAGCTCTCTGTTTAAAGACCTGCCTACCATTGGGCAAACTCTCTGAGGCATGGCTCTGAAACTGGGAGCAGGAACAGTGGTCTGCTTCCTTTGGAGTGACTGCTTTAGGAGTAGGGCGCTGGGCAAGGGTGGACGGTCTCCGGTCATCTCGGTTTGCCTCTCCTAGTGTGGAACCTGTCCTACCAGTGAGCTGGGTTGAAAACAGCTCGAGCCCCAGCATTCTCAGTCTGCCTCACCTGAAGTAAAGCTCTACAGAGGGACCCCCCCCCCCCCCCCCACACACACACTTCTTGGCTCCACTCACCTGGAATTTAGCCTCTGCAACAAACACCTGGAGAGTTAGTTCATATGATTTGCCCATGTGAGGAAAATACCATAGTTCTGGGAGCTGGGGGGATGGAGCCCTGGGCTCTTGACTATACCCATCTGGAACAGGGTCTCTGTCATGCTGAGCTGGGAGCAGAGAAAAAGGGAGTGGTTGTTTTAAAAAATAATTTTCACCAACTATACTTGTTTCACTGAGGATCAGGTCCACAGAGGTCCTCATTGCCATTCTAGAAGTGGAACTCCTAATGTTGTTTTACATATCACTTAGACTTATTGGCCTAACAATATCAAAAATCAAAAATATTTTAAAATAATTATTAAAAAGTGGGCTGAGACAGCCTTATGGGTGTGACTTCAGCCCTCTGTGTGCTGAGGTGGAGTAATGATCCAAAATGGCCATTAGAGCTGGTCCTCTTGGACTGATGTGGGGGTAATTACTTGGCCAGTGGTGGACGTGAGTCCAGAGATGGACAGATGTCTTGGTAGGTGCTGTGTGGTTGGGTGATGCCCAAGGGCTTATGGTCACCATCGCCGGGGCATTAAATAAACCCATCTTAAGCTTTGCCATGTGGCAGAATAGGAGATTGGGGGAAAACTGAGTTGCAGAAAGATAATGACTTTCTTTCCTATACCACTAAAACTATGGGCTAGGATTTAGGTCAGGTGTAGAAGTATAGGCAATTCTTTTAATGAGTGTGGCTGAAGGGATGGAGCCAAAGAGGGGAGGAGGGGGAGAGTTTTTTTTTTTTTCCTAATAGCATGATTAAGTCCTCATGGGAGAGATTTGGTTCCCTGGGAAGACTAAGGATGCCAGGGAAAGCAAACAGTTGATGGTGTGAGATTCCTGAGACTGGACAGGAGACCAGTTTGTTGGAACTGGAAAGCAGAGCTGAGAAGTGGTGCACATCCACTTTTGTTTGTTAGGTTTGGGGGACAGAATATGAAGGGATATGTAGCTGAAGGCTCCTATTTTCTAGGAGCAAAAGTTATCATCTTCCAGAGTATAGGGTTGCACAAAAGTTTGAAGGGATATAGTTTGAAGGGTCATAAAAAGTGGGCAGGTGAGTTGATGAATGAAAAGGTTCAGACTGCCATGCAGGGTTATAGGGCCGGTGAGGCTGTAGATTTTAGGTGCAGAGGATACCGATCAATCTGATTCTGTAAATGTTCTCCAACTGTGCTCAGCTGCCCTGGAATAGGACTAGAGAAGATGAATGATTGGGGTCATCCAAGATTGGGATTATTCCAGAAAACAGCTGCTCAGAACCTCTTCATATATTTAAAAAAACATGCATCTTACATAGCTGTTCTCCAAATTTTAAAAAGTCTTTGTTTTTGAATTTCATAGTATCTATCTCACCATCCCTTTGATAGTTGTTTTTATTTCCCCTTCTTTTTTCCAGGGTTTTCACAGTCTTTTACAAATGAGAGAGCAGTGCAGTACAGTGGTTGAGAGGACTTTCGGCAGTAGCGTGCCAGGTACAAATCTCAATGTTTAGCACTGTCTGACCTTAGGCAAATCACATTACCGCTGTGTGCCTCAGTTTTCTCATCTGTAAAAGGCAGGGAGTGATCATGATAGCAGCCCCTTCACAGAGTTGCTCTGAGGGTTAAATGAGCTAATGCACGTGCCGCACTGACTATTACTCATTGCTGTCAATACTGCAAACCAATGAAACCCTCAAACTGGAAACAGAATGAGATGCCAAAGATTATATTCTAGCCTTTTACAGCATGTAAACCCCCCCATATTTCTCAACTTTTCTTTCCCTATTCCCCCACAAAGGCACTATCACAGCACACTCGCAGTAAGCATGAAGAAAGCTTTAAGTCTTAGCTTTATTTGTGAATAATTTTTTCCATCTTATTTGAGGTATTTATACTGAGCCATGAACCAGACAGAATGCTGATCTGTATCTGCATATCATTTTGTCCCAAACTTATCTCCTTTCTTCCATAATCTCTTCTGAAAATGTCACAGTTTTTCTCCTTCACAGGTAAACTCGAGTCCTGGCTATGGCTGATTCTTATAAAGCACCAGGTCCTAAATTTGGCTGTATGCCCTCCGCAGCCAGGTGTTGGTATTCCTACCTTTTATTAGCCTCTGCATCTAAGAAGTTGTCTTTACCTAAAGTAGGAAACAAACATGGTCGTTACTGTTGCTAATGATAATGTGGCAACTCCTCCTCTTTAGTTTCCCTACCCAGGGACTGTTGTGAGGGGGACAGAGGTAAAGAAGGGAACACGGGGCTCAGAGACCAGACTGCAGTTCAAGCTCTAGTTCTACCACTGAATAGTAGCATAGGGTTTTAAAAACACTTTACAGCATTGTGAACTGTTCAGTAGCTTATTAGCAACTTTCTCTTTCTCCAGTTCTTGCCAACCGTGACCATCAGCACCACTAACAGGATGTCCCTTTCTTGTCACTTAGGATACCCTGGATTTTCCCTTCACTCCCCAGGCAGGTTTATCCATGCCATGTTTAATTTCAATGCCTTCCTCCAATTCTTCTTCTCAGGCAACACCTTATGCTCCTCTTCCCCTTCACATCACTAACTCTCTTTCTGCCCTTTGTTCACAATTGCCTGATTCCTATTCTATGATAATTTTCATAATTGAAAGACTTTATCATTTCTCTCTAAATCCCAAAAAATATTTCCATTTTTTCACAGTACCAAAAAATAGACTTTTGCCTTTCATTTTTTTGCAGATATCTGTTCATGTTAGTCCAGCTGCATCAGCTGCATATGTTTTATGGTAATAAGTGCTAGAGAAGAGAGGTTATCTTATCTACTTTGTACTACTTCAAATAAAGTAAAAATATACAATTTATAAACTTTTGATTTTGATGATACCCAAGAAGCAGAAAAAATAAAACATATTTATCTTTGACACAAATCATGTATTTCTACATTTGA